CGTCGGTCGACCGATGAGAGCCAAAACACGAAGAAAACTTTCTGGACTAACGTCGGTCGACCGGAAATTCTGTCGGTCGACCGATTTGAGCTCTCGGTCGACCGGACCGGTCGACCGATGACTCTCTGGAAAAATACTGACGAATGGTCACTAGACCGGTCGACCGTACCGGTCGACCGAAAACTGACATTCTAGAAAAATCGGTTTTAGAGCTGATTTTAAAACCCTGTTTAAAAATATCAAATAAATTCAGAAAAATGTAAAACTTTGGGGAATGATTGTAGACATGATAATAAACATGCTACAATGACTGGCTATCAAAAAGGACTTCCCAAAAGAAAAATATCATCATTTTACAAACTAGTTCAAAAACATGAAAACCTAAAAATTGATATTTTGATATTTTGACTTAAACAACATTTTGAAACTTTATGAAATGATTGTATAGACTTGAAAAAAGATATAACATGTTGTTATGAAGTCTATAATCTAGAAATACAATATTTTCATAAATTTGCATATTCTATGCAATATATTCAAAACACTAAATATGATTTCATTAAATATAAGCTTGTTAAAGGTGAAATCATATATAGGCATATAAACATGAAACAAAATAGTATTTTCCAATTCTATTCATTTGTTTCATAGTAAAACTTGAAAACTATCAAACCAAAACATATATGTATATATATAACTATATATATACAAAAACCAAAACGTGTATGTGTGTATATGATTGAGCTTAAAGTACTAACACACATAATATAAATTCCTAAACTAAATTACCCAAGCAATCTTGATCTTCAACGAAGCTCTATCTTGGTAATCTTGCGGATGAAGCTTTAACTTGGATCTTGAACTTTGAATAGCAAGGCTTCACCGACATTCCGCCAACCTCCTTTGGATATGATCGTTGAAGCTCTATTCCATCCATCCTCCAACAACGTTGTTTGTCTACAAAACATAGGAATGCACAAACACTAGACAAACAACATTAGTAATAAATTGTTTGTTAAACATCATCAAAACAAGAAGGCCAACAATCTCCCCCTTTTTGATGATGACAAACAATTTACAAAAAGGAATATATGCATGAAGGAAATGAACATATACAAGATAATAACTCACATGCATATAAACAAACAAGATAGATATACTCACAATATTTCTCCCCCTTTGACAACATCAAAAAGGGGACAAAAGAATTAAGAGAGCGAAAGCTCCCCCTACAAATAAGCATGGGTGAGTATGAAGCAAGTATAGGGATTGCTCCCCCTATCAAAATGCCATATGTAATATATGCAATGAATATCATGGAAAACATATGTGAGCAAGCATAACCGCTGTCCAACGCAGCTTATCAACCGCTGCCCAACGCAGCTTATCAACCGCTGCCCAACGCAGCTTATCAACCGCTGCCCAACGCAGCTTATCAACCGCTGCCCAACGCAGCTTATCAACCGCTGCCCAACGCAGCTTATCAACCGCTGCCCAACGCAGCTTATCAACCGCTGCCCAACGCAGCTTATCAACCGCTGCCCAACGCAGCTTATCAACCGCTGCCCAACGCAGCTTATCAACCGCTGCCCAACGCAGCTTATCAACCGCTGCCCAACGCAGCTTATCAACCGCTGCCGACGCAACTCATCCATCACTGCCCAACGCAGCCCGTCAGTCGCTGCCAAACGCAGCTCAATCACCGCCAGAACGCAGGTCAAGGTTCTGACTCATTCAAACGTGATCGTAACAACTTCGAAGCTGTTCTTCACCCACGATTTGAGGAGTGGCTTTAGTGGGTTGTTACACCCGACTAATGGGGTAACTAAACCCCCATTTAGGCGCGGATTATGGGGGCAGTTACACCCCTAATCCCCCTATAAATAGCAACAAACTCAACAGAGTAAAAGATCTCTTTTTTGGATTGGGGGAGATCGGATTTTTGATAATCAGATCAAGAGAGATTTCTTTTCATTAATCGGAGGGGGATCTTTCGAGCAAATCTTCCAGAATCAGAAAAAGGAGGATTGACTCCTTACACAGTCTGGGAAATCAACAAAGGGAGGAGCTCTAAACCGTCGATATTTGGCTTATTAACCGAATTATTTTCGGTTCCAACAACTCTATCATTAGAGTTTGTTACTTGTTCTGAATCACAAAACTCGACAAGAGTTATCAACCGGCCAAGACAGTTGTTCCAGTGAAGTATAGATATTCGGATCGTCAACGAGAAGCAAACTCGACGCAAGCATTCGAGGGAGGCATCTCATCGCTACCGTGAAGAACCCAGAATTAAACAAAGGGGAGAATCCAGATCATTCTCTTCTCTTTTGTAATCAGGAATTCAAATTGTAATCGAGAATTGAGAGAGTTGTAATCATTCTTTTTCTAAGCAGTTAGAGAGAATAAAATCAAACGCAATTCTTTCCGTATATTCTTTTTATTACAAAATTTCCCACAAACAGCCACATACATCACAACAAAATTGTGTTGCTGAAAGAAGAAATAGAACATTACTAAATATAGTTAGATGCATGTTGTTACATTCGGATCTCCCAAAATTTTTTGGGGAGAAACATGGTTGGCTGCAAACTATATTTTGAATAGAATTCCCACCAAGTTAATTGTATCTACACCTTATGAGTTATAGAACGAGAGAATATCTAATCTGAGTCATCCCAGAAAATAGGGATCTATGGCTCATGCTCTCATTCCCCTACCAACTTAGAGATAAGTTGGTGTAGATCCATAAATATTCAGAAAAGTTAAAAAGTTATAAGTTCTACAACAACAAAAATGGGTCACAACAGAGATGATACATTTCTAGAGAATGTAGAGGAAGAGGAACAAGTTCAAGAGGAAATAGAACCTCTAACAATAATAGATGATGATTATTACAGTGTTGTTCCCACTAATGATCCGGATATTATGAATGAAACCTAACCTTGAAAATGATAAAATGCTTATGTAAAATAATGTATCTCATGGTCTGGTTGTAGGTAACAAAAGCCAAAGAACACAACCTTCATAAAAGTACAACCAAATATAGAAAATTTTGGAAGTTAGTATTTAAAACTGCAAGGTGGAATATCCAATTTGGAAGATTTCGGGATAAAATTAACAAATATATCAAGAAAAATTTGCAAATATGGTAATTTTTTAAGCGTATATGCAAAAAAAAACAAATATTACTAATGAACAATCAACCGATGCGACCTTGGCGGATCCCATCTGGACAAAATGTGAAGTCCGCTAAGGGATTGTTTGGTTGTTGTTGATAAAATTGTGTATTTATGACACAACTAGGAAAGTTGTTGTCCACCTCATCAATTTCAATTGTATACTTTTCTTTATTTGTTTTTTATTCCATTAGAATCATAAATTGCTTGTTTGGTTTGCAAATATAACTTTAATTGTTTATTTGGAAAGTGTAAAAAGTGGTCCCTACTCAAATGATCATATTAGTTGGAATTATTTTTTATTATTTTTTTCTGACTTCAATGTCAGCTTTCTACTAAAATCATGTCCCGCTCCATTTCATTCGAAGAAGAAAGAAACCCATCGGAATTAACTCTCATATCTAACATGCGTGAGAATTCTCCTGGAGGTTTGAATATTTGGCACGGATTATGTGGTAACTTTTCAATAAACAATTCTACCGTTTGTTGCGACTTGCCCAATTTAAACATAATACTCATATGATAATCGTTCGAGATCTCCACTGCGGATGTTCTATCAATAGCTATGGGCCAATTGCATATAATTTTCAGTCGGTATTCTCGTGGGTCAATTTCCGTAACTCGGTGTAATTCCATAACCAAGTCGTAGTAACTATATGATTCCGAGATCATTAATGGCGTCGTTACCCCTCCGACGTACATTGGCATATTATTCATCCCATAATTAATTTGCCCACCATAAGAACAAACAATAAACATCATATTGTTCAACCTATTCAAAAGAAAATTATATCATTTAAATATAAAAAATTAAATTAATATGCAAATAATCTCACATAATTTCAACCAAAAACCCTAATTCCCAAATTGTAAATCCTAAACCCTAAAATTGAACAATTGAACATTATATGCCCTAAAAGTTAATTACATCGATAATAATCATCATACAAACGAATTTCACAGATAAATCTAGCCCACGAAATTCATTTATGAATGAAAACCCTAGCAAATTATTTTTAAGAAAAAAATCCTACATTTCTACAAGTTAAAAGAGGAGAGGAGTAGAAGAAATTACCAATATACGTTTAAGATAACTTTTGATTTGAAGTTCCGCCGAAGAAACGAGCTCAAAATTGAGATCTGAAGCTGGTTTTGGGAGAACAGACGGAAGAGAGAGAAGAGAGAGGCGGAGAAATGAGATGGGATCGGGGAAAGGGGGTTCCGGTGGCTTTTATACGGTGGTGGGGACCGAGAATAAGTAGTCGGGTTTCCCAAACCCGACTACTTTCGGGGTTGGCCCCCGACCAATTAAAAATGAGCTTCGAAATGGTCGGGGTTCCCAACCCCGACCATTTCGTCCCTGGCTAACCCAGCGCTGGCTGGGCTCTGCTAAATGGTCGGGGTTGGGAACCCCGACCATTTCGAAATAGGTCTCTTACGAAATGGTCGGGGTTCCCAACCCCGACCATTTAGCAGAGCCCAGCCAGCGCTGGGTTAGCCAGGGACGAAATGTTCGGGGTTGGGAACCCCGACCATTTAAAAGGATACACAGTCGATTTTGATAATAAAAAATTAAAATCAGGCTACAGTGAAAATTTGTTCTTTTCTATAAAGATGGTTTTTAAAAATATTTTTTTATGAATAATCTGATTGATCAAGATCAGATTTACCGTTCATAAGAGCTTTTTGAGTGTCCTCCTTTAGTAAATAAGAAGTAGATTAAGCCTTGTTTTTTTGTAATTTTCCAACCAAAACCGTCCAGATACTATGATTGGTGCATTATCTCTAGACAGCAGCATCACAATTTCTATCAATCAATCATCAGAGCAAAACGCTTGCAAATAACTTGGGTATTTTACACAACAAACTAGAGAAAAGATATAGAATCAGATTCAGAAAAAAAAAAAAATTCCTCCACTTCAGAACAATTAATTAATTACAATGCACATAACAAACACAAAAACTACCCAACATCCGTCAACCAAATTCATAATAAAAGAAACAAAAGAACAAAAAAATAAATGAAGTGACACAACAACGGAGCTATTATCTTCATCATCAGCCGGTTACACCAACAGAAGCATCAAGACTGAAGGTTGCAAAATCCAACATCAAGCATTAGGGACGAAGAAAGAACTCCCAACTTGCATGAGATGAACTTATTCAGTCGGTATTGCTGGTGTTTCTATAATTTCTGGCACTGCTGGAGTTCCTATTACTGCCGGTGTTGCTGATGTTGCTACTGTTTCTAGCGTCAGTGGCATTGGTGGTTCTGGTGCCAGTACTGGTAGTGGTGGTGGCGGTGAAGCCAAGGCGAGATTTAGAATGAAGCCAACCAGCAAACCGATTAGTCCAACAAAAGCAGCAAAGGTCAATGAAAAGCCTGCATCGCCCTTTCGGTTTCTGCGTCTCTTCAACATTTCCTGAGTTATTTCAAGACAATGTGTCATAAGAAAGACTGACGAGAGAAACAGCTGTTTTAAAAAATAAAGTTCGTTTGAACATATGAGATATAGGGGTTATTGGATATAAGTTGTCACCTCATTTAATAAAATGAGCTATCAAGAGATAAGAGAGGTGAGGCCCACATGACTCATCGGGATTAACCTCAACACTAGTCTTTCTCTTGGCAGCTCATTCAGTACACCATAAACTATACCCATTTTTTCCCTAAGATATAAGATTTTGACATGATTATAGTAATTGGCACTTAATCAAAGATATGGATAAGAAAAGGAAGCACAAGGGTTAAGAATTTCCTACAGCACTTAAATTAAAACAGTAGTTAACAAGGCGTGAGAAGTAAAAGTCACGTACAAGTTCTCGCAGTAGTACTTTATTCTGTTGTAGGGTAGAATCCCTCTCCTCTTTCAGCCGTTGTACAGTTTGCATCTGCATTGCAGTTACTAGGTAGTTAGATAAATACTGAAGGAATTTCAAGCGAAACCAAGGTGACCACATAAAGGTGTATTATGAAAATATGAGGTAGTATCTAAGTCATAAAATTATAAAGTAACACTTCAACGTGAAAAGGAAGCATACTCTTTTTCGGACATATTCCACAGTTTCAAATAAGGAAGATTTCTAACTAGGGGAAATATGCCTAAATACCCCCTACGAGACAATATTGGCACTTGGTAGAACCAAAACGACAAGTACAAAAATTTCAGAAGACCAGGAAGAAAATTGATATCTGACGAATAATAACCTCTGTATAACTCCCAATTTCATTCAACTGTAGATCTCGTACCGGTATATTTGACGAAGTTTTAGATCTATGTAATGGAAAGCAAACATACATTAGATTGTTTCATTGGTTTATAACTAAACATATGATAATGAACCGGGAGGATGGTAAGTTATTAGGAGCTTTGTTCCATATTGGATATTCACATTACAAATATTAGGCACTTCTTCACTAAATAAACAAAACTTCCTCATCAATTAGACTAGAATGAGGCTGGGTCTGTGAGAATTTGACCATGAAATAGGTTGACTACTAAGGCCATGCTATATGACTGTTATGAAAATGAAGTTCAAAACCACCCGATGTATACACTTGTAGATACAATTTAAAACAATTTCTGTTTAGGATATGTAATAAGTTTAAATCCATTATGACCCCAAATAATCGAAGTGGAACTTCGATGCTTTATTAAAGTTAATAAGTCCAAATGACTATCATTCTTAATTTTATTTTTAGTATATAAGACCCTAATCTACAGCTAGTATGACCCTAATCTAAAGTAATAATGATTACTATACTATCAAAATGTCATTCATTAAACTCTTAGGTTCATCTCCCAAAGCATGTCTGGACTCATGGTAGTCCAAAGGATTTTGCATAAAAAGTCCACCCATGTCACTCTAACAAATTAGGAATAGTGAAATTGTGAGAGCAAGGGCAAAGGGGATGAAGAAGATATATGGAACTTAGTGGTACATAAGTATGGCTAGCATCCAAACTGTGAAGTGGGACAGGTTGATGACACAAGCTTAAACTGCTACATGTTACAAGATATGTATTCTATATTGTAAATGACTATACGTTAAGACTGGACATATATTCTACAATTTGGCACTAAGCCAAAAATGTCGGATGTGAAGCTAACAACTCCTAGAAGGTCGAATAAAAGTTCTCAATAAGGGGTTGTTCTTTTGTTCAACCTCACGCAAAGGCCTTAAATGAGGATACTTGCGAGTTTCTTTTCAAAAATCTCATTCTGTTGAAACTTCCTGCCATTTTTGTTATTTAAATAGTTATATTTAGGATACGACACTATTTGAGTGCATTAATACGACAAGTCTTCAAAATCCAGGACATTTTCAGCTTGTTATGTCAGGGAAATGATAATTAATTAATTATAGAGGTTTATTTCAAGGTTGAGATTGCCGACAAGAATAATATAACTTAGGTTCTCTTGATGTTGGAACTCAAGTAACAACGTCCGAATTGCTTCACTCCCTACAAAATGATTTCTTGTTGATACTTATTATATGGAACTAAAAGGTTACTGTTTAGTACAGTCATGTCTAGAAGAGGCAATTGGGTTACTGTGCAACCATTCATAGCTGAACCAAACTCCGCTAGCTTAATTAATTGGTCAATTTTTGTACTCAAAAACATCTTAAGAAACTAAAGACATATTCCATCTCAACTCAAGCTAGCCTACCACTGATGAGATGGTACAACTCTTAAAAGGTTTCAAGTAGTTCACTTGGGCAGATTTTTTCACAAGATCCCTATATCTGCAGAAAGTCTCCCAAACATCATGAGGACCACCACAGATTTTTCTTGAGGTTAAAAAAATGCTGAATATTTTCCCAACAAGTTTAATCAATGAAATCCTTGAACTCCAAACTTGAAATACTTGGATTAAATAAAACCAAAGTTAAGTCTAGAAGTTTAGAAAGTAAGCTCTCCCTTCACCACAGTTGAAATCAACTTCAACCATTTTATCTTTCTAGCCTTGACGTTTCTTTAATGACTACTCATAAAGATGTGGAAGCTCTAACATATCTTCCCAAAGGTGTTCCCATGGACTAATTTTTTTTAGGTCAAAAGGTCATGGAAGTTACAGGAAGACAGAACTGAAAGCCTCCACATATTTAACAGGATTTTGATATTGAAACTGAATAATTTTTTTGGCAATCATTTTCAAATTGGCAAGTATCTTCAAAGGATGAAAAGGAATCTCTTACTAGGCTAAACTGTGACTTAACAATAGCACTATTTTTGTTACAACGCTTGAAATTTGACCTTAAATTATTAACCATATACCACAATATTGGATGAGCTCTCCCTCATTAAATGCCACCAAGGACTTCCTCGTGACTTAATAACTTGGACCACCATGGATAACTACCGCAACATAAGGGGGGGTTATTGGTTGGGATATTTTGGGGGATAATGGGATAATTTTGGGGATTTTATTTCAAAGTGTTATTCATTGGGACAATGGAACAAGGATAATACCTTTTTGTGTTATTGGTTTTTTGGAACACTAGTGAGACAATTACACCACTTGGGATAAAATTACCTCACTCATATACAAAAATTTTGTCCTAATAGTAAAAATTTACCCCATCCTCCATATTGGAACAATGTTGTTCCACTTTGAAGGCAATTGGGATAATTTAAAATATTTTTGTATTACTTAATTAATACATGCTAATTATATTATAAATATATGACATGATATATAAAATATAACATATATTAATAATATTATATAATGGTAATTATAGTATAACGTATTTATTATAATATTACATAATATTTTAATATTATATAATAACATATATTAATAATATTATATAATAACATATATTAATATTTTAATAACATATATATAATATTTTAATAACCCCCCCTAAGAGAAGTTTGTCATTTAAGAGTTGTACTTGTAACCTGTAATTTCATAAGTTCGGGATTGCTGTTCAGATTTAATTCAAAGAGGGAAGTGACCCGTTCTCATGTATTCAAAGAATCAGAATAGACAAACTTCGCAAAATGCGTCAATCGTTAAGGAATCTAGCGGTAAACTTGCATAAAAGCTTTACTTTTCATGTTTAACTGCAGTTGCCAGTATGCTTTCAACTCTCATCAAATGTTGAAGTCTGGTATTCCTGGTAGAAAGGAAGTGCTGAAAAATGCATAACTCTCCTTCCGCTCTCCCTTCTCAATTTGGGGCTGTATTTTTACTTACCAAATCTGTTTTAATAATAAAGGAGTAAACAAAAGACATATATGCAGCATTATGTTGCAGATATAACATTAGTTATTTACATAATATTTTAATATTATATAATAACATATATTAATAATATTATATAATAACATATATTAATATTTTAATAACATATATATAATATTTTAATAACCCCCCCTAAGAGAAGTTTGTCATTTAAGAGTTGTACTTGTAACCTGTAATTTCATAAGTTCGGGATTGCTGTTCAGATTTAATTCAAAGAGGGAAGTGACCCGTTCTCATGTATTCAAAGAATCAGAATAGACAAACTTCGCAAAATGCGTCAATCGTTAAGGAATCTAGCGGTAAACTTGCATAAAAGCTTTACTTTTCATGTTTAACTGCAGTTGCCAGTATGCTTTCAACTCTCATCAAATGTTGAAGTCTGGTATTCCTGGTAGAAAGGAAGTGCTGAAAAATGCATAACTCTCCTTCCGCTCTCCCTTCTCAATTTGGGGCTGTATTTTTACTTACCAAATCTGTTTTAATAATAAAGGAGTAAACAAAAGACATATATGCAGCATTATGTTGCAGATATAACATTAGTTATCTGACTCATAAATATATTCTTGCTAGCTACCTGTTGAACTCATGGACCACGATTTCATAGAGAAACTCCATCGAGATAGCTATTTGGCCCAATTCTAAGACAATTCTCAAAAGATTAATCCATTAATTTTACAAGATGAAGTTGCCAGGCTTACTGATAACAACATCTTCATATCATTGATCATGAAATACCAACTTACTGATGCCTTTCATTTCATAAGTTCTTTCAAATGTTCACATACTCAAGACAAAACAGATTCCCTAACAACATTCATAATAGTACTAGCATAATTCAGGAAGTGCAAGTCAGAACCCATGACAAGAGAGGCAGACAGAGAGGAGTCCTTTCTGACCTCTATTTCCACTGATGGGAAACGACCGGTTAATTAGTTGTCCTAAGCTAGATGAAGAATTCTAGAAATAAAAAAGTATTTCTAGTGGTTTAACTTGGAAGTTATGGAATAAACAAGACTTGGAGAATCAGATACTTTACAAGGAGAGTCTAAAGGGAAGGATACTAATAGGATGGAATAAAGGTAATCAATCAATTAGAAATAGATATAAGCAACTTCACCTTAAAATTTAAATACCACAAGAAAAAGAAAGGAACCTGTATCTGAAAAAAGGGATATATAAAACTGAGAGGAACAGTAACATCGAACATACCTCTTCTGCACTGAGTCTCCTGCTCAGTCCTGAATCCCCATCAGCACCAGACTGTGATGGAATCGTGTAAATAACCCTAAGCTTGCATTCCTCAATAACTTTATTCCCATCTTTATTAAACTACACATAAAATGGAGGAGAACTTTGTCAAATTAACTAAAATCATGAAGCATATCACTATATCACAACAATTCAATAAAGTCTCACTGTATCCTGAGGGATCTCATCAATGTCAGTGCTCGGAGGAACTTTTGTGCTTTGAAGAAGGAACTTATCCTTGCACTGCATATCAGAAGGATACTCCTTTTGTGCTTGCAGAGTAACTAGAGATCAAGGTAAGATATACAAATAAATCAAAATTTCAATAATAATTTCAAATGGTGGTGAATAATAAAGTCTGAGGAAACCTGTTATGGTGCATGAGTCCCATGGTTGTACTACACTTGTGTTTGGTCGTACAAAATACTTCCTTGGTGAAGTTGTTTTGACCTGGCAAATTGCACAACAGCCAAATTTTTAGTACAAGTTGTAACTATATATTCAAAACTACATAAAACAAACCAAATTATTGGTTGAATGTCATTTTATATTGATGGACATAATTCAAAAGCATGAGAGGATTTATCTCTACTGTAGAGAAATCAACATTCTGAATTGTTACATAAGTGGCTGAAGCATATTCCACAAAAAAAAGGCAATTTTGGGTGACCCCATCTTAAATGACGAAAAGTGCAGAAAACTTAATTTGTAGATACATTACTATAGCCACAAAATATATTGTCCGATTTAAAATATATATATTGTCCGATTTAAAATATATATATATTGTCCTCTTAATGCAAGTATTACCCTTATAAATGCATTACATTAAATCATCAAATTGCAAATTCCTCTGTGGAACATTTGAAAATTCTACTTCCACCCATTTCATTTTGGGGATTTTTTTTCAACCATATTTGCAAATTTACATCCCAAACCTAGATATTTGCTAACTTACTTGCCAATTCTACCACATTGCATTACAAAAAGCCACAAGAGTTATATTAAGGAATGCTCGTAGGCTATTCCTATTTTTTATGTTAATTGTTTACCTGAAATTTCCCCCTTCCAACTGTTCAGAAACCAACGACAATGACGTTAAATTAGCAAAGGACTAGATTATTTGTTGTTGTTGTTTTTTTAAGGTGTTAATTGCAAATATATATGATATATAGTTAGAAAGATGAAATCTTTATGTACCTTGAAGGCAACATGGTGCTCGGTGTTATTAACAACCTTGAGGTTACAATAAGAAGGCTTGTCCAGCTCAACTGAAATCAACAACAAAAATCAATCAAAATCGTAACTTTTAAACAAAAAATTCAGAAAAATTAGAAACTGGGATGAAATTTTTACTCACATTCAAAATTGAGCTCTTCAGGGTGAACAGAAATCAATGGGCTGCCAGGTTTCATCGTTGCTGCCGAAGAGTCCAAACCCTACATCAACAGAGAAATGACAAGAGAAAAGATGAAGAAATAACCAAAATTGAGATCAAATGAGACAGAGAAAAAGATGAGATCTTTTTTGCTGCAGAGGGAAGGGCGTCGACAGTACCGGCGAGAGTGCCACGTGGCGGAGAGTCCGATATAGGCGCCACGAAATTTTAGAGAGAGAGAAGGAGAAATTCTAGAGAGAGAATTTTAGAGAGAATTGGGATCGGCTCTTCGTTGAGTTGAGGGCGACAACGACGGAGCAGCGCTGGTTAATTTTTGGGCGTAAAAATTTTTATCAGGTTTTATGTCTGTTTCTGTGAAAAGGAAAAAAAATGAGAGTGATTTTTGGCAATAAAGGACAGGTTCTTTGTGAATTTGCATATATTGTCGATGCTCAAAGGAAGGCAAATTACAAGTAAAACACTTTTAGGGTCTGTTTGGATTTTGTAGGGGGTGAAGGAAAGTTAAGGGAAACTGAGAGAAGGGAAGGGAAGGGAGTTCCCTTCCCCTTGGTTACACCCCAATTTGAGGGGTAACAAATTTTATACTATTAGGGGGTGAACCAAGGGGAACTAGGGTGAATTAACTTCACCTCCTAAGTGTTCCCAAACAAGGTGAATGGAAGTGAATGGTTCCCCTAACTTCCCTTCACCCTCATTCCCCTCAATCCAAACAAGCCCTTATGTAGCATTTAGTACATTTATGGTGAAACTCCCCCAACTCCTATATATTTAACTCCTCCCATGAATAAAGAAACGTTCATCATCTATATTCTTAGCAGCATTTATCAATCATCAACTAATTTGTTAGCATGTAGCATCACAATGATTGCTAAAATTTGCAGATAACCCCCTCTGTCAATGAATTGAAAGATGATAAGTGCTACTAAATGTGTTGAATGACTGATAAATACCATTTAAAAACATATGGGTTTTATCCATGATCTAAAGTTCACTCTGGAATGAATTCCAGGGCATATAACTGAAGGAGTATTTAAATTAATATGACTGTCTTCCGTGCCCTTCTTCACTTACTTGTTGAACTTTACCCCTCTATCATGACATTACTACTGTTATTCTACTATAAAAATTAGGTTCCTAGGTGCATGGGAGAATCTATGTAGCGTTATAGCGTGCAGTTGCACCCTTAGGAATGTCATAATTACATTCTAAACTCTTCTCCAAATTCAATTTGCCCCCATATTTAAAAAAAAATTTGCACCTCAATGGCCCAATCTTCTCAAACATAAAGAGACGTACCAAACTGTATGTCTTATAATGACACTGCAGCTTTGGATAAACTTGCGAAATTAACGAATAATTTACAGACGCTTGGTAAGGATATAATCCCAAAATTGCCCCCAGAAAAGAAAAGCAAACTTTGCAAATTTATTTTCAAATTTACCTTCCGAAAGCACGCAAAAACATGTGGGCTCCACGCCTCCACCTATAGCAACAGTGAATGCTGTTTGCTGTTCGGTCAGCGTTTCACGTAGTCAGGTCTAAGAGACAACAACAGACTGTCAGTGGGCCCCAAATTAATAGGTGATAATAAGTAAACAGCTGGGTGGATCCCGCACAGCACTCGTGCGTGCGTCTGACTAATAAGAAACATGCTGTACAAAAAACTCAGCTATAACCAATAGTCGTGTCTTTGACTGGCTGCCCCCGGGCCCCACTAAAGATAAAGAGAGCAAATCTTATCACAATCATATATATGGGAGAAATTTTCAAAATAACCTCGTTATCAAGTTTAATCTTAAAAAATTTGATCCAATTCATGGTTATTTAGTGGAATCAACCTAGTTTCTGGTCATGTTAGCATGGTGACCAGAAACCGGGTTGTTTAAAAAAAAATAGAACTTCTAATTAGTCCAACCCCGACTAATTAGAAACTCTTCTAAATACGAGCAGAATTAGCAAAACCAAACAAATCGTGGTAGGGTCAAAGTAGACGATGTTCCCAACCCTGAACAAAACAGTCAGGATTGGGAACCCTGACCATTTGTAGAAACGACTGTTCAACTCTTGAAGATAAAAATCTATAGACTTAGGGGGGGTTATTCATTGGGAATTTGAGGGGATAATGGAATAATTTTTGGGATTCTATTTCATAGTGTTATTCATTGGGACAATGGAATAAGGATAATACATTTTTGTGTTATTGGTTTTTTAGAACACTAGTGAGACAATTTCACCACTTGGGATAAAATTACCCCACTCATATACAAATATTTTGTCCCAATAGTAAAAATTTACCCCGTCCTCCATATTCGAAATTTTTTTCCCACTTTGAAGACAATTGGGATAATTTTTAAACCTTTTTGTATTACTTATACTAATACATGTTAATTGTATTATAAATATATTACATGATATATAAAATATAGAGTAATAATATATTCAATATATTATATTATATCATCATGTAATAAAATAAAATATTATTATAGTTTAATTTATATGTATACTTTATTTTATGATATTTATTATATATTATTATGTAATATCACATACTATATTATAGAATAGTACAAGATAGTTATTATAATATTATATAATATTTTTATAACATATATTATTATATAATATTAATTAGTAATTATAGTATAACATATTATATTTTTATATAAATAAAATAATCTATTATATTAAATATATTGATCTTATATTATATTAACTATTATATAATATAGCATGCTAATATAATATAATAATTAATAATATTAATTAGTAATTATAGTATAACATATTATATTTTTATATAAATAAAATAATGTATTATATTAAATATTATATTAAATATATTGATCTTATATTATATTAACTATTATATAATATAGCATGCTAATATAATATAATAATTAATAATATTAATTAGTAATTATAGTACAACATATTATATTTTAATAAAAAGTAAAATAATGTTTATATTATAATAATATACTAAACAATTGGATAAGTTAATTTAGAAGTAATTAATAGATAAAATTATATTTTAATAAGATGCCACATTATTAACTATCCCATATGAATTGTCAAATCAAAGGCTCAAATTATCCCATTATCCCACTTTACCCCATTCGAAATATCTCAAAGAGATAAAATTGTTCCATTAGAATAATTTTTTCACTTGGCCCTAATTTGTCCCAACTAATAACCCCCTCTTAGCTAAGTCATAAAGTAGTCGGGGTTCCCAACCCGACTACTTATGGTGGGGCCCGCCCACTTATATATACCCACTCGACCCATCTTCCCCTCATTGTGACGTTTTTTCTCATTCTTCCTCCAGTCTCTCTTTCTCCTCCCGCTTACCCAAGTCTCCCATACCCCTTTTTTTCATCGAAATTCGACAAGGAAGTTAGCGGAAGATCTCGAAGGTAATTTATTTTCCTTCTATCTTCTTCAACAATTAAACATCTAGGGGGTTTTTCTCTTCTTCAATATTTAAATCTACAGTATTCATCAAAATCCGATTTCTAAGGTTTGAAATTTAATATCAATTAGATATCTTTGTGGTGATTGTCAGGTTTTTGTATGTGGTATACTTTAATTAAAATTGATATTCCAGGGTATAAAATGCTCATTTTTGGGTTTAGGGTTTTCATTTGTTTATCTAGGGTTTTTTTTTTATTAAAATTAGAGCTTAGAGTTATATGATTATGAGGTTGTTTGCATCTAGGGTTTTTCGCTCTTATTCAATGGCCTGATAATATATTTTTTAGATTTCTTACATTTAAATGATATAATATAATTTTTTTTAGAGGTTGAACAATATGGTTTTCATTGCTTGTTCTTATGGTGGGAAAATTAACCATGGAATGAATAATATACCAATGTATGTTGGAGGGGTAACGACACCGTTAATGATATCTGAATCATGTAGTTATTATGATTTGATTAAATAATTACACCGAGTAATTGAAATTGATCCACGGGAGTACCGACTGAAAGTAATATGCAATTGGCCCATAACTTTTGACAGAATATCCGCGGTTGAGATTTTAAACAATCATCATTTGAGTATTATGTTTAATTTGAGCAAGACGCAACCAACGGTAGAATTGTTTATTGAAAAGATTCCATTTAGTTTGGGCCAAATTTTCAAACCTCCGAGTGAGTGCTCACGCATGTTAGACTTAGGAGTTGAGTCTAACAGTTTTCTTTCATCTTCGAGTGAAATAGAACGGACTCAATTTCAATACCTAAGTGCACCTTTAATTGTTAGGGGAACGTTAAGTGTCATGAACAATGAATTCCCTTATCAAAATATAAGGTCATTAAGAGGGGCGGCGATTGAAAAGGATGAAAGAAATGACTTTGAAGATGAAGAACAAGATAGCGCACCAATTGATAGCATGCAATTTGTGATTGAAGATGTTGAAGAGAACCCGGGATGGCCTGACAATGCTTATGTTAATAATGAATACGTTGAGTACGAAGAGTTTCCCAACGAGTTTGAAGATAATGAGTGGTTTCGTTCTTGCATAGTACAAGACATTGGCATCGACCAAGACATTGGCATCGACCAATGTTTAGATGAAATTGATTGCATATGTCCTTAGAAGTTATATTCATTTGCCGGAAAGAAACATAATTGGCGTTTTTAAATCACAAAATATTGCAGTGTTCACACATGTAACAATCCGATCATAGGGCAAGATCACAGTGGTGCATCTGCCTTATACATATTGCAGTTGATTATGCCAAAGTTAAAGAAGAAGCTTGATCTAAATCTCGGTCAAATAATTGATAAAGCGTTAGATTTGAGATTCATTGGAATATTATATAGCAAAACACAGAATGCAAGGAGAATTGCGATGACTAAAATATTTGGTGACTGGGAGAAGTCTTGCGCGACATTTCCTCAATATCTTGATGCAATCAAAAGAAGCAATCATGGAACTAAATACCAAGGTTTTAAATATCAGCCGATAATCCGATATTATCCCCGAGTTATTAGTTTTGGGAGCTTTCTGATAGGATAAGTTAGAATTTAAATCAGTTATTATTTTTTGGGATTTATCTGCGATAATGCGGTGATAAAGGTGATTATCGACGATATTAGTGGCTCTAAAAATCAGAATTATCGGGCCACACTATTGGTTTGTGATTTTGGGTAGTGAGCAATTTTTGAGTGAACTTGAAACTCGACCTGACCCATTCTTTACAATAAAACTTAAACCCGATTTTGTAAACCTAATCCTCCGTTCTCTCCCCCCTCGTTTGTGTGGCTGTGCCCATTGCCCTAATCCTCTGATCTCCGTTCCTCTTTGACCCTGTC